TTCCAAAACCCACCTGATACAATGATTGTTTTTTTTCCCTTCGGTTATCACTAACATGATAACACACACACACAAACACCCACACACATACACACTGTATATCATATATTTATATATATCGTGTTTGTTATCAAAATCGTACCAACATAACCAGAAGAATTTTAAACCACAATAATACGTAAGCTTTTGGTAATCTTTTCACTTACTGGTCTTATTTCTGCATATTATGTAGATGTTCTTTTAAAAAATCTCTATCGGTAGGTAATTAATCTTTCTTCATCTAATCCACCAAGTTCGAGGTCTTGGAAAAAAAGCATTAAAAAACCATTTGGATGGCAGTGGTTTGTAAACACAAATGTCTCAGCGAGATCACTGTGGCATGACTACTCCAAGGTATCGAGACAGAGGAAGAGATAGCGAGGTTAATGGCAGTCGATCTGCTCCGACCTTACAGATACTTCAGCTTGCTTGATTGGACTATTCACTCGCTCCGATGAGTCCAGACGTCATGAATCAGGACTCCGGCCACTACCGTGTTAATGTTATGTCACAACCCACTGGGGAGATCAGTATCGTTAAGAAAAGAGAAAGACTTTTGACATATAACTGAGGCAGACACGATCTCAGATAATAAGAAAACAGTTCTGTGACAGTTACAAGTCTTCATTCAAAATAGAAAGAGAGACAGCAGACAGACAGAGAAAGATGGATGGTAGGTAGATAGCTAGATAGATAGGCCAAGTAATTTTATTATTCTAAATGCGCAACACCCCTTGAGAGCTATTCTATTCATATGTTGTACTGACAGAGTCAGAAAAAAAGAAATTAAACTTCCTTTAGTTCAGCTAGCTAGCTAGCTAGCTAGCTAGATAGCTAGCTAGCTAGATAGATAGATAGGTAGAAGAAAAAATTATGTAGTCATACCGGGGAAAAGGAGGGTACTGAGACAACAGACGATGGAAAGATAGGTTAAAATACAGAAAAATAACATGATATGTTAAGACACATATACGATCAAATCTAACGCCAATAGAAAAAAGTAAAGAGGGTTTCAGCGTGATTATTGATATAGAAGCACAGGTAGATACTGATTTGCACGTAGCCACAATTTTTATCTGCTCTTCATACACGTTCATCATCATCGATGTCTTTCTCACTCTGGATAAGGGCATGGGCCACGAATAAAAACCCCTGTCAACCTTTCTTTATCCCAGGCTAGTCTTTTGATATCATTCCATGTCTTCTCACTATGTTGTTAACATGGTGCGAACATTCCATGGCGCAATCCGGTAGACTAATTCAATGACAGTTTCAATCAAGTTACTTTAAACAAAATTATGTGGTGTCCAAATACCACAATAATACTGTACATTTGGTTAGATGTTGGTTGTCATTAAAGAAGCAAGTTAAAAATTACAATAAGTATTATTATTGTCAATACTTGTGCAAAAAAAGAGTGGCAGCGGTGGGATTCGAACCCACGCCTCCGAAGAGACTGGTGCCTTAAACCAGCGCCTTAGACCGCTCGGCCACGCTACCTTACGTTAGTGACAGGTCTTATTAAACAGAACTGTCTAGAAATAGTTTATCTTTGCCTTGACTTTTCCCTATTTTTTTCTTCTATTTTCTCTTTCTCCTTTTATTTAATGCGTAATTGCCCCCCCCCCCAATCCCCGCTTTCCGTACACAACACAAAAAAACTCTTATTTTCTTTTATGTTTTTAAGTTAACGTTTTTCTTTCATGTTTGGTTTTCTGAGCGTAGCCTATTAGTTTGAAATCTCGTTCAATGCTGTTTTTCTTTTTAATTGCATAGATAATACGGTACATCTTTTAAAGCCATGAGCTGTTCTGTTATCTCTGCTATCGGTCTAGGTGTAATGACAGGACACGCGATTGGCGATCTTTCCCTGAGTTATGGGGAAAAAAAAGAAACGGAACACTCACAAGTAAAGAAAATAAAAACATAGGAAGAACAAAAAACCACTAGAGGAAAGAGAGATAAGAGACAGAAAGAAGCAAAAATTGAGCACGACAAAGTGAAAGACACAATGGGCAAAGTCCGAAGTTTTTATTTATAAAACCATTAGTTTAAAGCTCTTCCAAAACCCACCTGATACAATGATTGTTTTTTTTCCCTTCGGTTATCACTAACATGATAACACACACACACAAACACACACACACGTTTATCCAATAGCTTCAAAGACTGGACAAGGAAGTGGAGCTTCCACCTATCGAAAAGCATTTCCAGAAGCCACCACAAATCACCTACTCAACGGTTATTGTGTTGTTCGAACCTGGTGGAAGGCAGACTGGCCATGGTCCCCATGACACGCCAGATAAGTGGTCAATATGGACATTGTTGTGGACAGTTGAATAGTATACCGTGGTCAATATATGCCTCATACATAACCAGGGATAGTAACGTATTTATCTAACACATTATGTGTATGAAGCGTATCAGATCTTCAGGATCTTATGGTGTATTTCGGTTGCCACGTGCATGAAGTCTCAATACTCGATGATATTAACAATATAAATTCGATTGGACAGGTTGACTCATTGACAGGAGAAAAGATTGAGAGACAAAATGGGAAAAGGGATTCAGAGAGAGAGAGAGAGAGAGAGAGAGAGAGAGAGAGAGAG